ATCCTTGTGGTGATGAGGAAGGGCGGAACGGGGGTGGGGTGGGGTGGGGGGTGGTGTGGTGTGGTGTGTGTGTGTGTGTGTGTGTGTGTGTGTTTTGGGGGGCTTCAGACCGCCATCAAAATGTGGATTAGGAACCCGGCAGCAGGGGCGTTCCGATGCCAGCAGACGGGGAAGACCGCTAACCTCAGGGCGGGGCCGAGGCTCGGGGAGGGGCCGCGGCTCGGGCGAGGGTGTGGGCGGGGCCATGGCTCCAGGCGGAGTTACTCTTAGAGGATTATGGAACTTCCGGAAATCCGCTCCTGTGCACGTGAGGTTGTGGGCGAGGCCGGGACAGCCAATCGGGAAGCAGTGTTCAGCCAATGAGGAGTCCGGCTTCCGTGACGCCCCGCCCCGCCCCCTGTTCCGCGCCCTTCACGCGGAAGAGGTCTCGGCTGGTTAGTTCTCAGCCGCAGTCGCGCGCCCTGTGGTCGACATGCCTTTCGTGGAGCTGGACACGAACCTGCCCGCCGACCGCGTGCCCGCGGGGCTGGAGAAGAGGCTCAGCGCGGCTACTGCGTCCATCCTGGGCAAACCCGAGGAGGTGAGCGTGAGCCCCCCGGACCCCTCTCGTCCTCCCGACCCTCACCACGTATCGCCTTTCCCAGCCGTGACCCCCCCAGCCCCGGCCTCAGCGCAGACTCTCGTGCCCCTCGCAGCGCGTGAACGTGACGGTGCGTCCCGGCCTGGCCATGGTGATGAACGGCTCCGCGGAGCCCTGCGCGCAGCTGCTCGTGTCCTCCATTGGCGTGGTGGGCACGGCCGAGGAGAACCGCGGCCACAGTGCCGGCTTCTTCGAGGTCCTCACCAAGGAGCTGGCCCTGGACCAGGACCGGTCAGTAGTGGCGGGGAGGCGTCCCCTGGCGGGGCTATGAGATCCAGGGCCTTTCGGTAACGTTGGGGGACAGACACAGTCGTGACTCGCCTGCCCACGGGCACAGCAAAGCCTGCGGTCCCCGGGGTCCCGTGACCGTGGGGCTGCAGGGGGCGTGTGCACCCCGACGAGCTGAGCGTCTCCGTCTATGCGTGGGAAGGTTGCATTTTCCCGCTTCCAGGGGCACTGCACGATGGCTGGGATGCTGGACCTGCTTTGGGCCATGGTGGGGCAGGGTGTTGTTACCCTGAGCTAGCCATGACCTTCAGCATCTGTCTGCAGGCCTTTCTAAGAAATCCTGCAGTCCGGTTCCCGTCACTTTTTCAGGCCAGCAGGCAGAATTCTGAGTATGTCCTCAGATTATGACTTTTGGGCCTGTGGCCCAACCAGGTCCTAGGTGGAAGCTTCCAGGAGGGTCACAAGTCACGAAGAGGTGGCAAAAGCCTTGGCTTGGGTGTTTGGAGATTGAGTTCTTGGCCCAGCAAAGCTGGGGGATCCCAGGCAGGCCTGCATACAAGCCATCTCGGGTTTGCTGCCCCCCACTTCTATGAATAGAGAAGAATGGATTAAATGACTCCTCCCAGGCGCTCTGGCCTCCACACATGGGTTGGAGCTTCTTCCTGGATGAACAGTACTCTTGGGCTACACCCATGCCTGTGAGGAATAAAAGTAACAGAAGGTTGGAAGAACTTTCCAGAACTTAGCCCCCATTGGCCCAGGAATGCTGGTACGAGTAGCTACTCCATGTGGGTGCTCAGACCTGACCCTCAAGCTGTAAGAATTCTGGTAACAATAAAACCAAAAAACCAAATTCACTGCCACTGAGTTGATTCCGACTCAAAGCAACCCCCATTGGGTTTCCGAGACAGTAAATCTTTATGGAAGTAGATTGCTGAGTCTTCCCTCCACGGAGCAGCTGGTGGGTTTGAACCCCCTGTGTTCTGGTTGGCAGTCAAGTGCCTTAGGGACTACACCACCAGAGCTCCTGCTTTCTCTGGGCCAGGTACTTAAATGCGTGATCTCCTTGTTCACTACAAGCCCCCCTCCACAGTGCCCATTTTACAGACAGGGAAACCAAGGCCAAGTCACCTGCCTGCCTTCCATGCTCTCCCGAACCCTGGTGTGGTTCACCGGGAGTGTCCTGTCAGCTCTGTGATGGGACATTCATTTGCTCCACAGACAGTGGGGGCCACCCTGTGCCCAACCTTAAGCCCAGCTTTGAGGAGACTGAGGGGGGCTGAGGGGACTGCGTGTGCGCCCAGGGGCTTGCAGCCTTAAAACAATGCGAGCCTGAGCACTACCACAGAAAATACCACATCGAGGATCTGTCCTGGGTGGCCAATGCTGTTGTGCCCCGCCATCAGCCCAACGGGCCCCTGGCCCCGTCCAGGGAGTGGAGAAGGTTATCACTGGGGAGAAGCAGGCTTTCAGGGTGCCTGGGGGGTGAGGCTGACAGGCCTGGAGCCTCTGGTGGGAGGTGCCTGGCCGAGGGTCTTGGAGATTGAAGTGTTAGGCGAGGAACTGATGATATCTTTTTCTCCATCTTCTGAAGGATAATTATCCGCTTTTTCCCCCTGGAGCCCTGGCAGATTGGCAAGAAGGGGACGGTCATGACTTTCTTATGAGAGTGGCATGGAGGGTGTCGAGGGCCTGGGAGCTGGCTGCCCCCTCCAGAGCAGCCCACAAGCAGAGGAAAGTCCTGGTGGTACCCCTTCATGCAGACGTGCTGGTAACCTCAGTCCTCCTCCTCCCCCACAGCAAATAAACGAACAGAGAGCATCCTTCAAACGTGACTGCTTTGCCTCCCTGCACAGACACCCCCCCCTGCCCCCCCCCCACACGATCTGGACCCAAGCAGTGGGCTTGGTTCATGAGGAGAGGCCTGCAGGGAGTCTGGGAGGTGGGAGGTTGCCTGGCTTCAGAGCAACTGTGTTTCATGTACTTCAGCTGCTAAAATCTGAAGGTGCCCAGCACTTGTACCCCTTGGCATGGCTGTCCAGGAGGGGAGGGCAGCTGGGCTGGCCTGCACCTTCCTGCAAACTGTGCTGATCAGCAGTGGTCTGGGCGGTTCCCCGCCAGACAGGGCCAGGGCGGTCTGGACCTCAGGGATCTTCCCTTCACGTTTGTGAGTACCGCTTTCTCACCTGACTGGTACGGTAACACAGATGGATAAAACCAAACTCACTGCCAGAGAGTCGATTCTGACCCACAGCGCCCCTAGAGAACAGAGTGGAACTGCCTCAGGATTTCTCAGGCTGTCAGTCTTCATGGAAAGCAAAGCCCCAACCACACCCACTGCCAAGGAGTTGATTCCGACCCACAGCGCCCCTAGAGGACAGAGTGGAACTGCCCCACAGGGTCTCCAAGGCTGTCAGTCCTTATGGAAGCAAAGCCCAAACCACACCCACTGCTGTGG